TGAATATTTGATGGATGGAGGCATTCACATACAAGGAAATGAAGGAAATGATTAAATAGCTAAGTCATGTTTGTTTTGTTAAAAACATATGATTAATTATATAATAAAAAAATTGCATGGAATCCAAGACTGTACCACTATGTCAATCAAGCTATCAAGCTGTTATCTTTGTGCATGATTTAAAATTCTTTTGTGCTCCTATCTTTCTTTTGCTTATATATAATCTATTGGTTATTTTTTTACTGGTCAAATGATGCCAAATTGGTTAATGGGGTATTCAGCAAATATCAGAATCTGATTATTCTTTAAAAAAATTCAAGGTATTAGCATACTGATAAGTTAATAAATTTTTTATCATATAGTCTGCTAAAATAATATCATAATCTTGAGTAACAGTTAGGTTTCTATTCAAATAAGGTTTACTTGAATAAAACAAATAATTTGAGTAAAAAATAATTTGAATAAAACAAATAAAACAAATAAAACAAATAATAATAATTTGAGTAAAAAATAATTTGAATAAAATGAATGATTCAAATAAACGAATAAAACAAATAATTCAAATAAAACAAATAAAACAAATAAAACAAATAATATGAATAAAACAAATAAAATGAATAAAACGAATAATAATTCAAATAAAATGAATAATAAAACGAATAATAATTCAAATAAAAGCATATAAAGTGAAACTTGTATTATGAATAGAAACTGTGCATTAATACTAAAATCAAAAAACAACAATAAACAAACAAACAAATAGCTTTTATTACAAAATTTTTGTTCCTTTGGTGGTGTTAATGATTGAATTGATCACACAAGCAGTAGTCAATTTAAACAACATTGTTTTTAAGAATTATTCAAAGTAATATTATCAAATGTATAATGTTTAATGATTTTTAATGTTGCAAATTTTTTTTTCAATCTCGATCCAAAATCAATCATATTTATATGCTTTAAAGTTTCTTTATTTCTTTTTTTGATAAATAATAAATTTATCCTTTGTTTATTCAAGTAGATTTTATTAGATCAATTAGTACATTACAACAAAATTTCGGAGAACCAATTATGTGAAAAAATTTAATTAAGGACCGGAAATAAAGAAAGAAAGAACACTGAAAAGATAATAAAATCTTTGATGAAAAAAAAAAACAGGATAACGCAAGATGGAAGGAAATCAAGTTTTTGCATAATTTCGTTATAGAAAATAAATGATAATTAGAAAGTAAAACTCTAAAATTAAAGTTTTAAATTGTTATATCATGAACAAAAAGAAATTTTTTTCTGGTTTTTATGTAAATAAATAAATGTCACATTGGTAAAAAGCAACAATACATATATACATTCATCACAAGTCCATTACAAGTCTATTTCTTTGAAAACTTCATCAGATGTCACATACTATTTTTGACAAGCATGAAAATTTTCCCAAATTCCTGTATTATTATTTTTAACTTTCACCATTAATTAGATATCTTTGAATAAAAATAAATCACCATTAGTTGTATTATTTCTCAAATTAATATAAAATAATAAAAATGAAAGAGGCTAGGACATGTATCCAACATATGATTGGATGGCACTTCAATAAATACATTTTATTTATGATATATATTAATGCTAGGGTATTTACAGTCGCGGCTGAGCGGCTGAAATCCAGTCACGGCTGAAATCCAGTCACGGCTGAAATCCAGTTATGACTGAAATCCAGTCGCGGCTGAAATCTAGTTACGGCTGAAATCCAGTCGCAGCTGAAATCCAGTCACGGCTGAGTCGTGACTAGAAGAAAAACCAGCCGACTAGTCACGACTTATAACCATCTAGTCGACTTGTAACACTATGTGGAATAATTAAATAATAAATATTTGTCATAACGAATTTTTGGTGGGGGTCTTTCTAATCTCATCACAGCGAATTCGCGTGACATATAAATTTTATGAAATTATCCAAATTACAAATAAATGAAAGAATTTTTTTTCTAAAATAAAGCAATAAAACAAACAATAGATAGATTCGTCAATTTACTACAAAAAATACGGGAGAAATTCATATCAAATGATTGACAGAAAAAATCAAACAATCGTTAATTTCGAAAAACTCCTTAATAATTTAATTTTTAAGTAATATGGTTTTTATCAAACCAAAATAATAGCATTCACGAATCAATCCAAAATGTTTAATGACATATTACTCTGAATTTATGTTTATTATATAAAATGTATTATAATAATTACATAATAGTCGGAATTATTCAATTAAATATTAGACAATATGCCTTTTTTAGTTTATATTTCTTTTTTTTTTTAGTTGCATTTTTTCTTCTAAATAAATAAATGATTTAATAAAAAAGAAAGGGAATTGCTATTTCTCACCGGTGGTGATTGTCACCACCTAAGGAATTATACAATTTATGATTAACCCCAACCCTAACTCCGCCCCACGCAAATTTAATTCCTTAGGTTGTGACAATCACCACCGGTGAGAAATAGCAATTCTCAAAAAGAAAATAATAACTATATGAGGTCCACACACATTTATGTATTTATATTTGCCATCGGTGTTTTATTTGGATTAAGATATTTTTGGTTTATTCTAGAAATCATATTATCAATGATTGATTACATATGCCAGCCAACTAACTAAATTAAAATAATAATAAATAGTGATGCTTCATCCTTCAATTTAGCCGATTACAATTTTATTATTATTATAATAAATCTTGCATTTCCGCCATAAATTTTTCATATTCATCAACTTTCTTTCTTGCTTTAGATTTTTTAGGAGGAGGAGGAGGAGGAACTTGCTGTTGCTTATCATTTGAAGTTTGATTTTGTAAAAGTGGTATATTAACAGCAATTACAGATGGAGATGATGGTCTTTTAGTGGGTATTGTAAATGAAGAAGTAGATGAAGAAGAGGTTATTTCTGTTACTAAACCATCATCAATATTTGGTGCAGTGTTTACCAATGGTCTAATAACCTTTGGTTTATTAGATACAGCCTTTTTTCGTAATAATGTGGCTGGTATTAAGGTTGTCAATTCTTTTTGTAAATTACGAACTTGAGGTTCGGCCTGAATAACTGACATTGCAGTTATTGGTGTTGATGACAAAGATGAAGCAATAGTTTTGTTATGATTATTATTATTAGTTGTAGTATTTGATTTAAAAGATGATAATGAAGGAGATGAATTTATTTGAGAAAATTGTTTTGATTGTTGATTTTGTTGTGGTGGTGGACCATAATGTAAAAATTTTGTACTAAATGGTGGTGGCCTTGATACTGGTGTATTGTGTGAATGCGATGCAAATACTTGTCCATGTATAGGTGGTGGTGGCGGCGGCAGTCTTCCAAAATGATTAGGACCTATTATCCGTTCATTTGTTTATTTGTGAGTAATATAATAAAATAGTAATTATTATCCAATCAAATATAATTGATTTACCGGTTCCAGTAAGAAATGAATTTGGTGGTAGTCTCATATTTTGTCTTTGATTATTTAGTGGGCCTGGTGGTGGACCATTATACATCATAAAAGGATCAGCAGGAAGAAGAAATGGCAGTTGTGGCGGTGGGTGATGGTCGTGGTGATGATTAGAATGATAAAATCCAAATGATGATGGTGGCGGTGGTGGTGGTTTTATTATTTTTTTTTGTTGTTTATTCGTCATTGGTGGAGGAGGTCCTGGTGGTAAAGAGGGTAAATCATCATCCTCATTTTCATCACCTTCATCATCTTTTTCATCACTACTAATAATTTCAAATTGTTTTTTTGAAGGTGGTGGCCCGGGTGGTAATTCTGGTAATTTGTCGTCATCATTATCTGATGTTTCATTGGTTTTCTTTGGTGGTGAACCAGGAGGTAAAGGTATATCTTCATCCATTTCGTTTTTTTAAAAACCATAATTTGTTAATCAATTATAGTATATTTAATAATCACACTGTTATTGTCATTAATTCTATGTTAATAAATTAATAATCATACTATTTATAACAGTACCTGTATTATCAATTTCTTCTGAATTTTCATCATGATCAGATAAATAATCAGTACTTTCATCACTATCAGTGAGGCTTCCTTCATCATCTGTTGTAGAATCTTCAGTAGATTTTGATTGCACTAAAATCATATAAATATAACTGATGATAATTAATATCTGTTCACTTAACAAATAAATATAATATATAACTTACAACTTCCAGCATCAGTCGTTGGTGGTAATCCAGAAGGATTTAGGGTTGGATGATAAAACACAGTAGCAGTATGATCTTTTGGTTTATCTTTAGTTACGGAAACTCCGTGTGCTTTTTTAGTTTCTACTATTTTTGAAAATTTTTCTTCCAGCTCTTTTAATTTGACTTTTCCATTTTTATCCAGCCATTTTTCTTTGTCTAAAGTTCTATAACGTGTTATTTCCTCTTCGAGTTTTGACGTATCTTTGTGCACCATAACAAGAGTTCTTACTCTTTTCCTTTCAACTTTATTCTTCTTGATCTCTTTCTGACGTATCGCTTTTCGATGTGCATCAGCCGGATTAAGAGTTCTTCCACTTTTCTTTTTAACCATTTTTACAAAAATTTGCCTTAAAAAAATATTATTATTTTAATATTAAGCTCGTACCACTGTGTGATGAAAACTCTTACCCCGGTTACACTACAAGGTTTTTTTAAGATAAGATTTCCTTATTTTCTACCAATAATGGGGGTTCTGGGTTGGGATTCGTGTAACCGAGGTAGGTGTTCCTGTGTGATCGACGTTGGACCAGTTAGTATTGGAACGTCACGTGATATATGATGAATTTAGTCAAGGTTAGGCGACGAAAATATTTTGTCAAACGGAACACATATGACGAAATATGATGAAAGTGACAAAGGGCAAAAGTCAAAAGTCAAAATCAATTGAATTTTCTTTAGAACAATGCTTTCATAAAAGTTTGACAAAAAGAGCTTGGGCATTTTGTTTTTGTTTATTTCATTGGTTTGTTAATTGTTAATTTTATCCAAACAAAAACGAGAAATGGAATAATGACATACAGGACATTCGTTAGCTAAATGAGTCTTAGTTTAAAAGGTGTTCCATGATCCAGGTTTTTGGATAACATTTGCAAGATGCTGAATAATGTCCTTTATTTTTTCCATAGATCAGAAGCAGGACATCCTGGGGCTAATTGTTAAATTAATTCCAGATATATTGTTTAAATTTAATGTTTATAAATTCATATTATGTGATGACGATTAAGAAGGAATTGGTAAATTAGAATTTGACATCATGAAATTTTTTTTTTTTTGATTTACTCCTTGAACCATAAATTTAAATGATTTAAAATCCACAATATAGTTGGTTTATTTTATTGTTGATTTCATCATTTTCATCAAATTACTCAAAGTGTAGAAATCCTATTTCGATTTTGTCATGTGATGAAAAAGGGACAACTTGGCATCAATACAAAATTGTAGCTCTGGGTATAAACAATGTTGTCAGCGGACATGGACACAGACTGTCCCATCCCGGACATTCCTGGACAAAAATATAAATTTTGCTTGTAAATAATATGAAGGTAACCTTGATTATTTAACGTTTTGAGTTAGCCTTTTAACTAACTCGTCAATTAATTTATTTATTTTACGAAATTATCCTGCATGTTGTCTCTTTCTTGTACCTAGAAACTTTGGCGAATCTGTAATCACACTTTATGGTGCAATTAACAACGAATTACAATAAATAAGGATGGCCATTCTACAAACAACAAATGTTCCTATAAATTTCCTTTTTTATTTACTTTACTTTTACTCTCCTTGGGCCGATTGAAGTCATACAATGTTTACAACATTACTTTAACACAATAATCAATATGTGATAATGACTTTGGTTAATAACTGTTGACAACAGTTAGTCTTAACAGTTACAAAAAATTAAACAAGAATGTTTATGCTTAAAAATTAAATTTTCAGAATGTCTAGAAAAATTTTAACATTAATAGTTGTGACATATTAATATGTCGAAATTAGGGTATCTAGACGTTTTTTTAAAATATCCCGTTATTTTTATAATAAATTCGAACTTCGTTGTTAGAGTAAAATGAAATTACTCCATTAAAGCTTTCTAATGATACTCTTTCAAATCGAAAGGTCTTCTCTACATGAATTCACGGCTATTCAAAAAAGGTATTACTTTTTCACTTCAAAGCTCAGATTATTTCTTAATATCGCTTTAAAAGACTTGATATAAATGAGAAGGTGTAGAATACTTTAAGCCTTCGTATGGTCATTACTTTATGGGGTATTTGTTAATAAGTTTTAGAGAGGTCCAGAAAAACTATTTTATAGAAATTTAATAGTCATGAAGAATTTTATGTAGATGGGATTCAGCAAAACTAAAAGGTATTTTATTGGTGATTGTTTTATATTTCTGACTTTATATTGATTAAATTTTCATTAATGATTATTATTAATATTCATCAATCAGTAGCTGTTATAGCAACATGAAACAATAATATTAGTATGGTGCCAATCATCTATAGACATCAAATGCTGCGCCATTTGGTGAAATTTTTTCATGAGAATCATTCCTTTTATG